AAGAGGGTACATAATGGCTACCACCACTGCCATCACTGGTCACGGCCACGACCATTACAGGGTTTTCACCCAAGCACCCGGCACCACCTCATCCGCACATCATCTCACGACAACACCCACCTAGCACCACCACCGAGCCAGCTCGCAGACGAAGAAGCCCATTATCGGGGCAACCAACCACACCTTGCAGAGGCCACCGACCAGCACCAGCCGCTAGATCATTCAACCTCCGACGGAAAGCCGGATCACCGGATGCAGCACGAACCGCCAATCCTTGCCGAGCACCACGCCTAGAGGAACTGGGCAAATTTAAGACAAGATTTTTTTGCGCAGGAGGGAGTATATAGCACAAGTTCGGAACCAAAGGGATTGTAGAAACCATTCTTCTTATACCATACATCACAGTAGCAGAGACATCTGCTTCAGCTTCGGAGATATGATATTATACTTATCGAGTACTCGTTGCAAATTATTATATGATTAATTTATTCAGTAGACCTTACTCCCTTCATTCCACAATGTAGTGCGCCTGCGTTTTCCAAAATCTAAGTTTGACCATGAATTTGTCCAGCAAGACCGACTGCAGCGGGAGCAAAACTTATACCACTGGATTCGCTATTTCGATACAAATTTGGTGGTATAATTTTTGCTCCCGCCGCAGTCGATCTTGTTGGTTAAATTTATGGTCAAACTTAGATCTCGGGAAACACGGGCGCTGTATATTATGGAACGGAGGGAGTACTTTAGTGTAGGTAGTGTGAGTTAATTAGGTAGTCTTGATAGTCTTTCACATAATCTCTTCTTCAATCCTAGAAACAAAAAAAGGAACATTCTTTAGGGACATTTGGATACCAAGATTTTGGACCTTGTACTTTCATAGTTATGAATTGCGAAATAGAATCAATTATGAAATTAATTAGTATGTATCCCTCATCCCTATTGGGATCGCTTTGAACCACTATCCAGAACCCTGCGAGAGCCCTATTTTAAAGAAGAAATTGACAATCTTTTTTAAAACTAGAACTATGGTAAAATCCAATATTTATAGGACTAGTTCTTTTATTTTGCTTATGTAGGTAAGAATTTGTCAAGTTCAATCAGTACAGTAAGAAATATTAAGTATTTTTTTGTCCGGCGAGACCAAGATTTGGACTGGGGATAAAGGATTTGCAGTCCCCTGCCTTACCACTTTGCCATGCCGCCAAACCCGAGCCAAATTTGAGCAAAATCTTATTCATCCACATTATCTTACTAATTGGTATTCGTAGGAAGTGATTATTACACCCTTTTCGATTTTTTTATATCGTTGAATTCCTTTGTACTTATCCCTTTTCAATCCCTTTTAATAAATTCATTCCTGTTTTTTTTATTGGACCCAGTTTTATTCTCTTGGATTGATTGTACTCCTATCTCAAAACACACATTGCTTAAATACCTTCTCTTTCTATTGAAAAAAAGAAAAGATTTCCAGTCACACACTGCCAAATTTAGGAAAAATCGGAACCATATTCCTACGAAGCATTCCCCTTTGCTTACTAAGACAGGCATGTATCAGATTCCTATAGCACTTACAAACGCGCATGAGTCTCTGTCCGTTCGGAAAGTTCCAAAGTAGCACAAGATTCGGACGCTCTTGCCGCCGCAGCAGCTAGCTATAGGTGAAGCCTGATCTCAAAGCCCTTTACTCTTTTTTCAGCCGGGATCTGGTGGGGCAAAAAGACTAAAGCATGGGAGTACGCCACACTAAACATCCACGCAATATGATATGCTCAAATGGCACACCCAGCTGCTACCTAAGCAAAGAATAATCAGGCAAGCATCGATCTTGTTGATGAATTGTGTTGCAAGTTGCGCATCCGTGCATGCCTTTATGTCCTCCTGTATAATATGACCACCGTGTTTGGACTTTGGAGTGTGCTGCCGTAGCAACGAAAATAGCCAGGCTCCATGCATGCATGCAGCGCGCGCGCGCACACACCACAATGGACGGCTTGCTCTCCTCGGCTAGGAATTGGGTTAGCCGCGGGCACTTCGGCCAGACGCTGTGTGATGGCACAGCGGCGGCGCCTAGTCCGCCGCCGGGCGCCAACGACTCCGAGGTGAAGGGGGCGATAGTGTTCACGTTGGTGCTCATGGCGATCCTGGGCGGCACACTCAGCGTGGTCGCCCTTGAGCGCCTCATCCGCGGCCGCTTCACCCTCTTCTCCGTCGTGCGCACCCTGTTGCGCTCCACCTTCGTCCTCTTCCTCCCCCTGCTCTCCTACTTGTTCTCCCACTCGCAGGGGCACCAGGAGGAGCTCCTCTTCTTGCTCCTGTGGATGCTCCTCATCGAGCTCATCCGCAAGAAGGTGCACGCAATGGTGCAGTCGTCCGCCGATGGCTCCTTCTCCAGGGCCTCCGGCCGGTTCCGGCTCATGGACCACTCTGATGAGGCTACTCGCCTGGTTTGGATCGGCTACCTCATGTACTCAAACATCGACACAAATGATGATAAGGTAATATGCTTTCTTTCTCCGCCTCATCGAGAACTAGGAATTTCCCAAAATTAATCTGGAAACATACTCCCTCCGTCCGAAAAAACTTATTTCTCAAATGGATGTATCTAGTACCAGTACATCCATTTAAGAGATAAGTTTGGGACAGACTTTTTCGGACGGAGGAAGTACATGCTAATCTAGGTAAACTTGTCACCTACGAGTGCCCAACCATTGTAAGAGCATCTACGGCCATAGTTGCCTAATTTAAGGCCCTATATGCCCACGGACGTGTAACCGGGCAATCCCCATTAATTTCTCTTTGTCTACAACCGTAGTCCCCATATGCCCGCACCCAAATTCATACAAAGCATGCAAACGTAGATCATCAAGGTGACAATAGCTCGAACAAGAATTATATATATATAGCAGGATAGACATAGTTCACGCCGGGCATAGTTCATCGGACCTAAAAGACATAGTTCACGTCGGGCATAGTTCATGAGAGCCAAAGACATAGTTCATGTCGGGCATAGTTCATCATAGCCAAAGACACAGTTTGCAGGATAGATTACTGGATACAAACTATATTAGCTAGAGGGGGCAGAGATCACCATTTCTTGTCTGGGCCCTTGCCTTTGCAGTATCTGGAGCGGTGGTACATCTGCTGTGTGTAGGCGTCCGCGGAGGGAGGA